GTTTGAGCACCAGCCTATGATCAGGAGGTCCCAGTTCGCTTCCCAGTCAGGTACCTGCCCGGGTTGTGGGCTCAATCCCAGTGGGTGGCGTGCAGGAGGCAGCCCTTCGATGATCCGCTCCCATCATTGATGTTTCTTTCTCTCTCTCCCCCTTTGCCTCCCTCCCTCTCTGAAAGAAATAAAAACATTTTTTTTAAAAAAGTTACCGAAGTTGGACTTTGTTCAGCAGCGAACACGCAAGGGACTGTGCCCCAGCGGCAGGGGCAGCCGGAGCGGGCAGTCTGCCCTGTGATACGCAGAATTCATGTGCGTGTCTCCTCACTCACAGGTGAGGAGAGGGTTGCTGTGGCCGGCCCAGGAGGTGGGAAGGCACCTGTGAAGGGATCCCCAGGGCACAAGAGGAGCAAGCCCTTCTGGGCAGAGGGAGGAGCAGGTGGAAAGGCACCGAGTTATCAGAGCAACTGCCAGCCCCCCAGGACGCCGCGTGCATTGTTTTCTGTATTCCTTGTAGCTACCTCAGGAGGGCGCCGTTCTCCCCATCGACAGGTGAGAAGCCGACGGAGAATAGCTGGCCCACAGTCACATGACTAGTGAGTGCAAGGCTGCTAACTAATTTTGTCCAAACTAGATTTGTTCTGATTCCAGCGTCGGCACTGCTGGACGGCGCCATCATTGAATGAGCCGAGCTTAAAATCCGAGGTGGGAGCCATAGGTGTTGGGCAGGGGACTCGCAAGGCCTCCTAGTTCACCGCTCTCCCTGCCTCAGAAGGTGAACTTTGGGTGCAGGTCTGTATCGCAGTGGACTGGGGTTTACCTGAGGCCCCCAAGGACGACAAGCAGGATCCCCGCCTTTGAACCCCCTGGTCCGTCCCACAGCGCACCGTCTGGGTCCGACATCAGAGCCCAGGCTTCAGAGGAAGCCGGTGTGAGTGCGAGTGCAGTGAAGGGACAGTGCAAGCTCCGGAGCGTAGCAGTGGGTGTGAGAGTCGAGCTTGGCGGGGAGATGAAGGTGTGGGTCAGTGTAAAGTGGGGGTGGGCCACAGGAAGTTGTGGAAGGCGGTGGGTTAGTCCTTACGTCAGTGTGAGACACCGTCATTGTTCGCTGCTCTCCATAAAAAATCGAGTGTCTTAACCAGTGACAGGTTTTATTTTTCGACCTCAGTCTGAGAGAGCTGCCCCAGGCTGATGGGCTTCCTCCATCAGCTGGTTTAAAGACCTTGATCTTCCTCAGAAGCAGACGGGCTGTCTTGGGGCTCCGAGCCCCACGGGTGCCCTTGCCAAAAGCATCGTTTGCTCCGGGGCGGTGGCCTTGGAATTGTCACTGAGCACGTATGGTGTGATGACAGTCACTGCCAGAGCTGCCGCTGGAAATACAACACCAGCCACATAGATCACTTACTTGTTTTAAATATACGCTTACTGATTTCAGAGAAAGGGAGGGAGATAACAACATCGATGACGAGAGAGAATCATCCATTGGCTGCCTCCTGCACCCACTGGGGACCAAGCCCGCAACCCAGGCACGTGCCCTGACCAGGAAACGAGCCTTAACTTCCCCGTTCCTGGGCTCGACCTCTGAGCCACACCGGCCAGGCCACATAGACCATTTTAAATCCATGGATGCTGCCACGAGTGCTTCCGGCCTCTGCAGGCCGCCCCCTAGGAGGGCGTCTGGTGTCGACTGGAACTAGCCGTGCTTCCCCTAAACCCCATCCAGGCAGCAAACGTTTGTGAAAATGGTGAAAATGCTTCGGTGCCGTGGCTGCTCACCCAGGGAGATTTTGCAGCTTCTTTCCCCTCTGGAGCAGGAGCCGGTATGTGTGGTGGTTTCACAAAGGCTCTGCCCCAGGCGGAGGGGAGAGCCATGAGCGGAGGTCTCTTCCAGTCTCAGAATCCTGGGATTCGGAGTTTCCGTGATCTCAAACGCGCTCTTGTTTCTTCCTTCTCTCCAGGTGGATGACATAAATGCCGCAGTGATGGACTTGAAAGAGAAGAAGATCCGTAGTCTAAGTGACGAGGCCAAGATAGGGGCCCACGGAAAACCCGTCATCTTCCTGCACCCCAAGGACTGTGGGGGCGTGCTGGTGGAGCTGGAGCAGGCCTGATCGTGTAAGAGGCTGCGAGAGTGACCGGGAAGCGCCTCGGGTCCTTGGGCTTTGAATCCTTCGCTCCTTCGGTCCCTTCAGAGTTAAAACCAAATTACAGAATGAGATTCAAAAAGTCATATATGTGTGTGTGTGTGTATATATGTACAGTGTGTGTCCCCAAAAATGTATACACACTTGGAATAATTATGAATTCCAATGGGTTAAATACGAAAGGAAAGACACATCAATTGAGCGTCAGCTAAGTGTATCTACATTTTTGGGGGGACACACACTGTGTGTGTGTGTGTGTGTGTGTGTGTATTTGATTTGGAGAAAATTTTGATCACTGAATGCCTAAGGAATATTATTAAAATCATATTCATAGAAATACATTCTTCCTGTTCTACAATGGGGTTATTTCGGACAGTACACTAGCTGTGTGAAAGGGTGTGTGTGTGTGTGTGAGTCGGGGGGGGGTATGAGGCGAGATGGGGACGCAAAGGAAGTATGGCCTCAGATGTTTGGCTTTTCTGGAACAACTCATGCTCACAAGCCCCTCAGGGCAGGTGTTTGGGGTGCTAAGCCCTATACGTACAAGTAGGAAGGTTTGTGGAGGACTGGGTGTGTGAGCTCTGGGCTGCACAGTCGGCTGCATTTTTAAAATCGGTGGTCGTGGAGAGGGCAGTGAGTTTGCAGGGGTAGCTGTCATTCAGGTGCAGGGACACAGCAGCCCCTGAGGGATGTGCAGAAGGATAGAAGCCTTGCTGAGGCGCTCACGGTCCAGGCGGGAAACGGCTTCGTGAAGTGGATGTAAATCGCTACAAAGCAGCAGGAACGGGTTGGAAAGGAAGGGAGCAGAGCTCTCAGAGGAGGCTTAGAGGCACAGCCTTTGGCCGGACTTCTTTTTTTAAAAAAATTCTTTACTGTTGAAAGTCTTTTTTAAAAATATATTTCACTGATTTTTTACAGAGAGGAGGGAAGAGGAATAGAGACTTAGAAACATCGATGATTCCTCCTTACCCACCATTGTCCTCTCCTAGCCTGCCCCTGCCCCCCAGCCCAGCCTTCACACCCACCCCTCGCCCCCTCCCCATTGTCTGTGTCCGCTGGTTATGCTTATCTGCATACAAGTTCTTTATGTCTACTCTCTGCATACAAGTTCTTGATGTCTAACCCTCCCAATCGCCTCCCCCCTGCCCCGCCCTCCCCTGCCTTAAACTAGTATCAAATGACTTTGCAGAATCTCAGATGGATGCATAGAGTGAGTGCACGGTGTATGGGAAAGTGTTAACGTCTTATAACTCACGGATAATTGGATGCTGAGTAGAGAAGGAGGTACGTACACATTGAGCCTGCTCTTAGGGAAGACGAGTGTAGCATTGAGTTGTTATTTAAAAGTTAAAAGCAATGCCCTAGCCTGGTCCCGGGTTCGATTCTGGTCAAGGGCACATACAAGGATCAACCAATGAATGCATAGATATGTGGAACAAAAAATCTCTCTCTTCGCCCCTTCCCTCCCTTCCTCTCTCTTTCTCTCTAAAATCAGTTCTTTTGAAAAAGGTGAACTGAGAAGTGTGTGGCCTTGTACGTCCTCTGCTTGGATAACCACGGTCAGCTCGCAGTGACAGAAAGAACAGGTTTCTGTGTCTCAAGGTGACCTACGGAGGTGACCCGGGGTTCCCGCAGCCACGGGTGTGAGTGTGTGGGTGGCACCACCCTGCCGGGTTCAGAGCCAGAACAGCTGTGAGTCCTGTGCCCTCAGCTGGGACGAGTGTTTCCTACGCTTATGGTGTGCAGAGCGCTACCTCTCGGCTGTAACTCACATCGTAGTTGTTGAAGAGCCAAAGCATATCCTGCACCTTTATCCGCGGACAGAACTGGCTTGTGTGAGAGGAAGGCTGCCAAACGCGCCTCCTGAGAACTTGCGATAAGGCGCGTCGGGCCGCCCTTGGCCGGGCACACAGGCGGAGTCCGCAGGCGGTGGGTGGATAAGCCGCGAGGTGGTTTCAGATGCAGGACGAGGCAGACATCCCCCCACCCCTCGAGGTGATCAGAATAGAGATCTGAGCTCGGAGGAAAACAGGCACGGAACGGTCACTTGCTAATGAAAAGTGCCATTGTTTGCAACAAGGCTGTGAACATAACACGGGCGATTGGGAACCAAGGAAAGGGATGTCTAGGGAGCGGAAGTTGGCAGAACCCGGTCCCCACGCCAGAGTGTCATCCCCGCCCCCCCCCCCCCCCCCCCCCCCCCAAGCTATGGTGCTGGCCTGGGGTTGGTTGGTTGCTGTGGCTGAGCATGAAATTAACTCCTGTTGTTGTCATTCCCGTTCCTCAAACGTGGAAGGCCCAGCTTATCGTAAGGGCAAGAAGCTAATGGTTCCCATAGCAACAGTGGAAGACACACTTGAACTCCCCCCACAGGCCGGCCTCGTCTTTCTTCAAGTCGCACAAGCCAGAGACTGACGTTGAATTCTGACACGGCCTCGCCTCCAACATTGTGCGTGCGCACACACACGCACACACACACACACGCACACACACACACACACACAGCCCTCACAAAGGCCTCTGTCTTTAGCCTTGCAGATAGCTCACATCCATCTGCTGCTCCCCACCCCCCTTCGTCTGGGCTCCCTGCACCCACTCTCATCCCCCCAAGCCCTCCCTTGGCAGCCAGACCCCGGGTGTGTGTGTGTGTGTGTGTGTGTGTGTGTTTAATATGTCATCATCATGTTTTATGACACACCTGTAGTCATGTCAGCGGCTACTGCACACGTCAAAGCATCTCCACCTCACAGAACACGGGAGGGTGACTTGAGTTCAGTCAAATGATCGCACAGACAGAGACCTGTGAGCCGCAGTCCACGTCCCGAAGGAAAGGGCTGCCCTGGGGAGAGCAGCTCCACGGCTGGCAGCCAGGAGGCCTCCTGGGAGCGGACGCGGGCTCGGGGCGGAGTGGCCTGCACAGAAGCGCCCTGAGAAAGCAGGCGCCCAGCCAGAGAGAGCGGCCCTGCCACCAGGAAACAATACTCCCGTCCCCTCTCTGGGTACCAGGAGGCGGCTTTCCGGTCCCTGCCTCCAGAGAGAAGGGTTCTAGGAATCTTTCCAAGACGGGCAGGCGGGCCCGGAAGGGAGCCAGGAGCCCACAGTGAGGGCCGGAGCGCGGGGGTGGGGGAGGGGACCGGTGCCAGGCAGCCCCAGGAGCAGAGGGACCCAGGATGCCCTCCCTGCAGCCCTCCGCCTCACCAGGGCACCTATCGTCTCCTCGTCTCTAAGGCGGTGTCAGTGCTGTCCTGTCCCCTGGTGGGAGGCCCGTGGTGCTGCAGAGAGGAGCCTGGGACCGGCCCCCCCACAGTGCTGGGCCAGCAGTTGCACTTGGTGTGTGTGTTGGGGGGCGGGGGTGGTCAGCTCCAGGCCTGGGTCTGGGGTGTAGGGACAGGGCCTGGGCATCACTGGGAAAATTCCCAAGTGCCACTGCTCTGCCCAGGAGTGGCCAAGCAGGACCACTGGGTGGGCTGCGAGGAAGACCCCACCTCCCCGGGGGCGGGGGTCCAGAAGCTGGGGTCACAGGCCTGTCGCTGTCTGGTTCTCTGTTTTCTCGAAGAGCATAGAAATGGAGCAGTGTTTTATATTTCTTTTTCTTAATATATATTTTTTATTGATTTCAGAGAGGAAGGGAGAGGGAGAGAGAAATAGAAACACCAATGATGAGAGAATCATTGATCGGCTGCCTCCTGCTGGGGATGGAGCCCACAACCCTGGCACGTGCCCCCGACTGGAATCGAACCCGGGACCCTTTAGTCCCCAGGCCTACACCCTATCCACTGAGCCAAACCTGCTAGGGCTGTACCAATGCTTTTTATTGCTTTAAGTCATTCCCCACTTGCGATGAGCTTTTATATGTTTATGAGATTTTTAAATGTAAATAAATGGACACACTAGCAGATGCTCAGATTGCTCAGTCTCAGCACCAGTGACATGTTGGCTTGGCCCAGGTCCTGTGTGGGGGCTGCCCCGGGCCTGGTGGGATGCTCAGCAGCAACCCCGTCCCTGTCACAAGCGTCGGCCCCGCCTGTGACAACCAGAAATGCTTCCAGCCTTGGCCAGGTCATTGCAGATCCGCCTGGGTCAGGCCCCACGTCCTGGCGTGGAAATGGGGGTAACCTGGCATCCACCGAGTGCAGAAGGACCAAAGAGAGGAGAGGCGAACTCGGGCCTAGCGGGGAGGGCATTCAGCTCCCGGTCCCGCCCCTGGAGAAGCCACAGCGGAGAATCAATGGGCCCACGCCATGTTGACAGTCACCACAGGGCCCAGCGCCGAGGGCTGCAAAGTGCTCCCTCCGTCAACAGCCCCCCGCCCCCCCTTCCACTGTGACATAACTCAGGCCCAGCATGCTCTGTGCCCCTCAGGACCGCAGGTCCAGCCGTGGATGGCGTCGCTCCAGAGGCCTCCCCGAGCCCCTGCCCCCGCAAGCTTTACCTATTCAGTTCTTTAATTCCCTCTTTTTTTTTTTTTAAATATATTTTATTGATTTTTTACAGAGAGGAAGGGAGAGATATAGAAAGTTTGAAACATCGATGAGAGAGAAACATCGATCAGCTGCCTCCTGCACATCTCCCACCGGGGATGTGCCCGCAACCAGGTACATGCCCTTGACCGGAATCGAACCTGGGACCCCTCAGTCCGCAAGCCAACACTCTATCCACTGAGCCAAACCGGTTCGGCTCTTTAATTCCCTCTTAACCGCGCTTCCAAGGTGCCAGAGGCGACCAGGGAGGTTGTTTCGGAGCGGAGAGAGGCCCCATGACAATAATCGCTGCTGCTCTCCCTGGCCTCATGGCTGTGTTCTCCTGTACGGATGGCTCTCACTGTGTCAGACCAGGCCCTGGAGGTCACAGGGGACGGGAACTCAGAGGCTTAAAACCGGGAACGTCCAGCTGCAGGGACTTCAGGCGACGTCATGGTGGACGGCTGCCTCCCTCCGTCAGCCCTGCGCTCCTCACCGGGGGCTCTGGCAGCGCCGGGCTTGCACTTGCTGCTTACGATCTCATGGGAAAGGCGTCCCCTTCCCAGCATTTCAGTAAGGAAAGGCGGCACCCCCACAAGGCTGTTTTGTTTGTTTTTTTTTT